GTTGAAAATGCGGAGAATTGAAAAATGTGGGGTGTTGAATATGTGGATCGTGTTGGAAATGTTTAGACTTCCGAAGTGAATTTCCAATGCATGGAGCGTGTTTATTACCAGCAAGATGTCTAAAGTTAATCATGGATGACAGACGAAGTAAAAGTTACCCCCGTAAATAAATTGAATTCATATTCTAATCAATCACAAACAGACATATGTCTATACTGATCTATATATAGAAGCATTTTGATATTTTTATATAAATAGTTAATTGGCGTTGGAGTTAATGTGAGAACACGGAAACGCTTAAAAAAACAAGACGCCTGCTCAGGCGTTCACACTGACCTAAAAATAACGACATATACGTGCTATCGGGTGCAATAGACAAGAACGCGCCAATTGTGAACCTCAAACGCAAAGCGTGAAAGGCTAAAAGCGTGGCGTGATCCTCAGGAGATGTTTTCGTAATGTCCAATGAAACACAAGTATTACTCACAACACAAGTATTACTCTTACCGTATATTAAATTAAACGTATAAAATTCGAAAAACTCAGCGATCCAGATATTGCATTTCCAGAGACGTTGCACGAAAAAAACCCAACCAGTCAACTTCCAAGGAAGTGCAGAGTAGGATAAATCCAAATTAATCCACAGAAAAACGCGCTAAAATTCGTTGACAAATGAATAAATTGTTTGAGACTGAAAAAGGCACTCATTGAATGGCCGCCATCTTGAAAACTGATCTGTATAGTAAACTGGAACGACTGGAACACTGGAAACTGAGCCTGCGATGCGCTAACGCAAACTCGATTTCTCGACGACGAAAAAAACAGGAAAAACAGATATTTAGGGATTTAAGACACTTGACCTTTCAGGTCAGTGTAATTAGTTCAGTATGTGGGAAAATGTGAATTGAGCGGAACATATGTTGACATCACGCAGCTTCTTTATATTGACAACGCATGCATGTAGTTCAGTAACCAGTGTCACTTCCTGTTATTGTCTATAGTTTGCTAAGCTAAGTGGAGACAATTCTTTTGGTTGTTTATTTTACAAATTAGAAACACTTCGACCACGAATTGTCAATATTGAATGTTTAATTTATATATACGCATGTAGGCCCTATAGAAGTTTAATTAATACATATTTAAGCGTTTGCACTCTTTGTGATTATAGTCAATTATTCCGCCTTTGAGAAGTATCCAAGTTGCCTCTTTTCTATGATTGTAATCCATAATTCGCTATTTCGCCAAGGCAATCCTGTAAATTGAAAGGGCACATTTGCCCCCCTTGCCCCTCTTGCCAGGGCAACAGGTGCGGCTGCCCCTCCTGCCCCCCTCCCCAGTTCCGGCGTCCCTAAATTAACTTCAACCGAAGGCAATATTTGTTATGCCTAATTCTCTTGCTCGTTTTTAGAAAAATAATCTCATAATATAGAGGCCTTAAATACTCGTGGAGCAATGATAAAGACATAAAACAGGAAGTTCAGACGTCTTTCCATTCAATAGTATAGGTTACTACAATATGTCTCACGTATATGTCTCTTTCATCGTATACTGCCTCAAGTAGTTTTACGTGCACATGTATATTATAATGAGTTTCAATATATATATATAATAATGTGTTTAGACGAATTAGCTTCACATGCTTTTTATTTACATCGTATTACTTTAACGCAGGTCATTCAGTCTTCTGTCAACATTGCCGCGCTTCATTTTGAGGAGTCATTTCAATGATATCCGGTGTGTAGATATTCAGCGTGGTTTCAAAATTCAGAGTTGGAAATAATTCGCATTTATTCGCTCTGAGTCTCTGCGATTATCTAGCAAGATAATCTCAATTGTCAGAAATGTTAGTGCAATTATTTTACGAATTTGCTTCAGAAAACGCAAGAAATGCAGTCATCGAACTTCAAGAATAGCAGTTATAGCACAATCGCCTGGCGGAGAACCCCTTCACATCCCTATCATCCAATAAACAGAAAACGGATTAGGCGAAGTTCAACTTCCGATCTTTTGCAAACCGATCTCTTAGTATATATCAATTCAAAAGTGCTCTTTCACGTAAATCTGCCCCCCTTGCCTTCACATCGTTCCGGCGTCCCTGGTTAGTTGTTTTATATTTTTGCCATGGTTGTTATTCTTTAATGTCTAAAACAGATATAATTATAGATGTTGTGAAAATTTAAGATTAGCTCAGAAAAAACGTAGAACTACATGTTATACTGACATCAAGACAAATTTTTACAAAACTCAAAAGGTTAACCATGCATAACAATAAACATACAGAATTTATTCAAAACATGTCGCGAACATCCACATGGTCATAGAAATTGTAAAATTAGTCAAATTTCGGGAGACGCTGGAAGATGTGGTTACCAGAAGAAGCACGCAGGAAAACACTGAGACTCACGAAGCCCAATACTTCTGACAAAGGTACGAATTTATTAACAAACAACAATGTAACAACATGAATCATGGATGAGGTGTACAGCCGTCATGCAGTAATCAAACACGAAAGCAGGACAGATATAAACTCGAAACTGAAAATACTCATTTCAAGTTTCAGTTCGTAACGCTTTTTGTATACTATACAATTGACAATTCCGAATATTTGTTGAAGATATCATTTAAACTATGGTGAATTAGTATTACCATCATACTAAGCTAAAGAAAGCGCCGTCAAATATATGAGAGAGTCTGATCTGTTGTCCATGTCATATGTAGTTTATAAATAGCGACACGATTGCTTTAATGATTGTCCGGGGCTTCGACTGACCTACTGAAGTCCACGTTTGAGCAGTTAAAATGTTGAAGTGCCCTACGTAATCGTATAGTGAGCGAAATATGCTAAATATCTATATTTAGCTTTATTTTCCATAAACCTGTTAGGAAGTAGATTCGCTTTTAATCTTTATTTACCTGGCAAACACTATTTCCTCTTGGCACTCAACACTTGTACATTTTAAGCTTATTATCACTTCTAACCTAATGGCTTTAACACGCCTGTCAACATTAGAAGGGAAAGTCGTAGTAGTAAACAGGTAGTACTATATCAGTGCTTCAGAAGCATAAATTTTATGTTGTATTTCTGCCGTTTTGGTTTGCTGTAACTCAGAAACACCGCTCACAAAAACTCTACGTGTGTTAGTATAGTGCGGTATAACACAATAGGCAACATGACCCGCGCAGTGGCAACATGACCGTCAAGGAATTTTTAGACATATTGCCTATATTATATTAAATGGGAAATTATTTTTACCATATTTTAAAATGATCGAAGGCTTTTTTTCAGAATGTATAAAATTGAACCATGAGAATAATTAGTGTAACGAAAAAGCCGGATATGCTATATATAAAATCAATCATTTTATTGCGACCGGACGCAACAGTCATACATCAACACAATTACCAGTTCAATAATTAATCGTTGCAAATTTAATTAAAGGTGAGATTGACATTGGTATCAGGTTACACTCTCGCACCTGGACTTCTTTCCCGACGGCTTTATTGTCTTGTTTCTAAACAGGGTTAGGATAAAATGCGGATACGGACGGACGGATGGATGGCGGACGGACGGATGGACGGACGGACGGATGAGTGGCGGACGGACGGACGGATGGCTTCCAAAAACCGTTTTTCAGCCCTTTTTAAGTCATATCCGCGTTTCAGCCCTTTTCAAGTCATGTCCGCGTTTTATCCAACGCTGATATGGTCCAAAAAACTTTTTCAGCCCTTTTTAAGTCATATCCGCATTTTATCCAAAAGGATAAAACGCGGATATGGTCCAAAAAACGTTTTACAGCCCTTTTTAAGTCATATCCAAAAAACGTTTTTCAGCCCTTTTTAAGTCATATCCGCGTTTTATCCAAAAGGATAAAACGCGGATACGGTCCAAAAAACGTTTTTCAGCCCTTTTTAAGTCATATCCGCGTTTTATCCAAAAGGATAAAACGCGGATATGCATGGTCCAAAAAACTTTTCAGCCCTTTTTAAGTCATATCCGCGTTTTATCCTTTTGGATAAAACGCGGATATGGTCCAAAAAACGTTTTTCAGCCTTTTTTAAGTCATATCCGCGTTTTATCCAAAAGGATAAAACGCGGATATGGTCCAGAAAACGTTTTTCAGCCAGTTTTTGAGTCATATCCGCGTTTTATCCAAAAGGATAAAACGCGGATATGGTCCAAAAAACGTTTTATAAGGGCATATCTATATGTATAAAGAATATTGAATATTGTCCTAGAATTTGAACAAATAAAAACCAAATCTCTTCGCTTATAAATACTAATTACTGCGAAATAAGAGTTCTAAAATTACAATTTAGTGTTAATAAAGTTTTAATTAGTGTCAGTTATCTGGTATGTATATAGTACTCCAATTTTATGCCAACGTAATGTGCTGTTTTTTAAAGGCTTTCCAATGCAGTTATCGGTTTAAATATACCTTCCCGTTAAGATATGACAATTTCCGTACAGTCTACTTTTATACGTAAACGCAAATTACAATTGCAACTTTTATGCTTAATTTTCTCTGTTATCTGGGTATGAATCCAATTTTGTGCCAATGTGATGTGCTGTTTTTCAAGGGTTTTTCAATGTTGTTAACGGTTTACTGAATATAGGGGCCTAGTAAAATTCCCGTTAAAATACGACAATTTCCGTACGGCCTACTTTTACGCAAACGCATGCAAATTAGCTACAATTGCAACTTTCATGCTTAAAGTGCCCCTGACAGCAAAAATTTTTATTGGCGATATTAAATCTAGGTATGATTTCTAGCGTATCCGTGAAAAAATTTTTCAATTTGGTCAAATCGTTCCATTTTTATGGCGGTTTAAAGTTGGCTTTCAATGGACCTTGTCCGTCGTGGCAAGGAGTCTGGGTCTAGCCCAATTTCTGACGTCACGCAAGGCAGTCGGCATTTAGCTTTGATCGGTTTGGATTGTTGTTTTGCTGTTTCAGACTTTCAGTCGGTGATTCTGTTTTATACTTGCTCAAAAATACGATAATGTCTGACCATGAAACTGATTCGGAGGAGAGTTATCAAACTGATGACTCCGATATAAACTTTATTCCGGGGTACATAATGGAATGCCCTGACCTTGGAAGTTCGGATGATGGCTCCAGCCTTGAAGACGACAACGCGGGCCTAGCATATGCCGATGAACCTTTGGCTGACGACGAGTGGCTACAAAACTACAACAGGCAAGAAAGAGAACGGCTAGAACTACAAGAAAAGCTAGAGAGAAGACTGGATGGTTCTGTTGAAATGAGCGAGTGGTAAGTACTTGGTAAACATCGATAAAATCCGTGTTTGTTTCGGATTATTACTGTAATATCAAATATATGCGTGGAAATTTGTTTATTTCTATCTATAAAATTCGAATGTTTTTGTCCTTTTTTATCACAGGTGCAATTGTGGGAATTGTGACATATCCTTACTAACAAATAATAGGGAATGTCATTGTTGTTTTGAACTGGAAGGATGCGGGGAAGCTATGAATCGCGAAGAAGTTATACAGGATCTCAAAGCCGAAGGCGTGCAAAATGCCAAGTGTGTAACACAACACCCGGGATTCAACTCCGTATGCCTTCAAAAGTGGAGTTTGAAGATGGCTGCTGACAGGTATAAAACCAAAGATAAAAGCAAGTACAGTCAAACGTCAACGGAGAATAGGTGAGACAATTTATTCAATTATGTTTTTAAAATTTTTCTTTGTTGCCAAATTTTTACCTCTCGACTTGTTTATTTATGCACCTATTAATGTTTTCCCCCTGAGGAGGGGGGGGGGGGCAACCCAGGGCATCCCTGCTGTTGGGCAAGAAACGGCTGTCAAAATTCCCCACTATATTCCTAAGGTAACAAGGCACACATATGTTTTCCAATGCGAACATACAGTCTATACTGGTTTAAACTTGGTAAAAATTGAGACACTGTATAAAAGGCTATAAAATACCTTTTTCGATGAAACTTGATTGTGCTTCTCTGCCATACTTGGTTACCAGGCCTTTCAATGTCAAAACTGAGACAAAACTGAGTTGATGCATAGGTGAAATTCCCCTCACTGGGGCTTCATAGTGTGGTTAAAGTCCCCTGGGCCACCCCCCACCCCCTCAGGGGGGGGGGGAAACAATGATAGGTGTATTCAAATTAGCCTGTCAATACATCACTATATACTAGAGGTGGTGTGCAAATCTGATCTGTTCGGATTTCGGAAACAAAATAATATATTCATTTCGGATCGGATTGATAAAGTTATTTCGTAGTCGGACCGGACTTTGGTATCCGAAATAAAATGAATTAATTATCTAATTATTCAATTGGACGTCACTTTGTCAGGTTCTTGACATGTATTTATTGCTTTTATATTTATTTGGTTAAATATTTCAACTTGAATGAGAAATTTATTTTATTAAAGAATTCTTCGGATTGGATCGAAACTCGGATCGGATTTGACAATTTCGGATCAGATCAGATGTTAAACATAGGCAATTATCGGATTATAAACGTCCGATCCGATGCACACCTCTACTATATGTATAGGTAGATAATGATTTGCTAAACACAAAGATAGAAAATATTAATTTATACTTTTGTAAATGAGGACTATAATGCGGACTATAGGCAACTTCTTAGCCTGGTTCACATGGTAACAAATCATGAACTTCCATTTATTTTGTTTTAGCTTTCTGCGCAGTATCTCATATAGAGAGTTCACAAGACTAATATATGGACCTCTTGGCAACAGAAGAATCCCACTACCTGCATGTGCCTACATTGCAATAAGAAATACATTTCCCATCATGGAGAAGGAAGGACAGTTTACTGGATATTCTGACGACTCAGACTAGTTTTGTTATTGTGCAGGGATTACGTGGGAATGAACAGCTATAGCTTTGAAATATTTGGTATATATAAAGTATAATGAATAAAATATGACATACTGAACATTTGCCATTTTTTATGGACTGTGTGCAATGATCATAGTATTATCGAGGTATCGTTATATTCTTTTATTAAGTGGCAGCTCTTAAAAGAGCTTTTTTTGTTTTGCTTGAAGCAAGCTTTTCTTTCATGATACCCAGGCCTAAATTCTTATCTGTTTTTTGGACAATCTATATCTTTGGTATGCCCCTTCATTGGATGTCCACATGCTCGACAACAGCGTTTTGCATTATTTTTCTTTGCCTCCTTTTGTCGCCTAAGTTGTTCCAGATGTTCCAATACTATAAAAAGTTGATATAACAAACTTTTTAGTCTAATTTCTGACAAATAAATTTGTCTCTGTCATGGAGTAAAAAAACAAAAATGGGAGTGATTTAACCAAACATGAAAAAAACAATAGATTTTACAAACTATTACAAACCAGGAATACTGGGTGGAACATCTTCAATAGTCATTTCTCTCCTGGCATTTCTTTTCCTCACTGCCTCCTCCTTTGTTTGCTTATTTAGCATTGTGTTCATAGCAGGGGGGCACATTTGCTTCAGTTCAGCTTCCTCGCTTTTCAGGTCCTTTTCAGCAGCTGACAAGAAAGTCTCGTAAATTTCTTGTACATAATCTATAAAAAAAGTTAACAAAGTATATTGTAAATAGTTAAATAAGACAGCATTATAGATGGCTGGCCATGACACAGGGCCGTAGCAAGCTCGATAATGGGGGGGGGGGCTGATATTCATATATTCGTGTTCTGGGTTATTAATTTCATTTGAAATCGATTGTTTTTATGGTCTGTGAACACGAATATATGAATATCAGCCCCCTTTTATTTTTCCTATGAGAGAACATGAGATTTTAAATTTTTTGCCATCATAGTAATTTAATAGGCAAAATTTTAAAATTCTCAAATTTTCGGCTATAAAGCAAAAATCAGAAGTGGTAACACACACAGTCTTGTTCACCAAGGTTTAAACTATAAGAAAATACCAGTTACCAGCTTCTAACATAAACTTGCCATCAACTCTCTTTGAAGGCACTTTTTGCCACCTTGGCCGGCCGACTATTACTATTTGCAGATAAACAGAAACTTACCAAAGTTCTGAGCAACCCTAACACTTCGAATTGTGGCCTCTCCATTCTTGAATTTGGGGTAGCTGACCTTTATTTTTTCAGATTGATCGGGATTGGTTTTTTTCTCTCTCTGCAGGTTGCTGTTAAAATGTATTACAGCTAGAATATGCCTAATTATGCAAAAGATATATATTAACTCCAATTGCTCTCATAATGTGCTAATAGACTGTTCTTCACCAAAGTAATAAACATTTAAATTAGAAGAGATTCCAACCTGCAGTATTGTCCAACATAAGAGTATGCAATCATCTTGGGTGCAAAGTGATTGAGAACACTATGAAAGCCCTCTAGACAGCTGGTTTGTTCTAATGGAGAAGCTTTCTGGATGCCATTCATAAGCCTTTTGTTTGTAAGTGCGGCACACACTTTATTATGGAGGGGTGAATCTATAGGAAGGGAATATGAATAAAACATTTTCCTGTTCATGTGTGCACCTTATTGTAAATATATTCTGATGAGCCGAACATGCTGCAACTAGAAACTGGGTAGTTGTAAAATTCATACTGTAAACTATATGCCATCATAAACATTTACAGGTGTAAGGCCAAATGTTTTACATACCAATGGTCAACCACTTTCTAGCAGGAATGTTGCTTCCATGAGCACAATTGTCAAACAGTGGATCACTGTGCCCTGAATGGATGTTGACAATGTGCTGTAGAAAGGACTTGAATTTTGCCCAGATTACCAAACCATTGCCATCATAGGTTGAAGTAGCACTCCAGTGCAGGTGGTTTTCACATGGCTTTATCCATTCATTCAGTGCTTCACAGTCTTTCTCTTTTGCAATTTTGAACAGCACCTTTCTTATTTCTGCAAGCAATAAAATTTTCAAACAGAAAACAATGTCAACAAGAATTGAAGGAAAATAGTGAAGGGCCTGAACTCCTGAAGGCTTAATTTAATTATCATAAACTAACTCATCAGTAATTCAGTGATGTTTATAGCTCAGTGGGTTCTCATCCTAACTCCTAAGCAGTCTGGGCATTAGCATGAATTATATTATTTAAAAAATTGGAAATATTCTCACTTTTCTTCAAGTGCCACACATCAAAATAGTGGGTAATTTGTTTCAAAACTTGCCGCATATACTTTGCAATTGAAGTATGCCTGTCTGATATGAAGGTAGTAATGGTGAGGCCATAGTTGATAAGGAAGTCCATGGATAACTTAAAAGACATAAACTCCATTGCTGGACTACTCCCTGCCTGATTTCTCTAAAAGGCAATAACAGTTGTTAGTGTCATTGAATAATCAAGAGCTAGTAACTAGTAAGTGAAGCTATAGTATTATTTACAGTATTTCTACCTGCACAAGATTAAAATGAATGATTTGTCCAAGAGTGCAACAAAAAACTGTATATGCACAAAATTTGGCAGAATGACCCATGCTGTCATGGCGACCATCCCCTGCCAGAACAACACCATTTCTTAATTTCTTGGCTTTCTCCAACAACAATGACTGGTACTTCTTCCAGTGAAGGAAAATGGTGGGGAATAGCACAGTCTATAATAGTACAACATAATTTATAAATTATATAGTTCAAATATATTGTATCAACCAATGGGCCATTCCGTTTAATGTAGCCCCCCCCCCCCCTATTGAGTTGTCTAGAAATCCTATGGGGGGGAGGATGTTTTTATCTTAAATTTTCCTAGAGGGTAGCTTAGGAAATTGTCCAAAAAATAGCAAAAATTAGGTGTTTTAGTGATATCCAAGGGGGTAAAAATGAAATCTTAAAGGGGGTAAAGATATCCATGGGGTAACTTCCAAAAATCACATCCAAGGGGGTTCTAAAATTTTTATATGCTAAGGGGATTATGAAGGGACCCCTCAATAGGGGGGGGGTGCCTATATTAAATGGAATGGCCCAAAACTTCTTAGTTCGTTTATAAGAAAATGCTCTTTCTTACCTTCTGATAACGGAAGTATGTTGAATGGGAGACACATCCAAGACCCATATGTGCAAATATTTGGCGTATTTTAGTAAAAGAGCCACCACCAAGCAAGACTGCCATACACAAAAGAAAGTTTCCAGCACGTGCTTTTGTACGCCCAGGTGTTAGTGGCTGGCTATACCATGTTGTGGTTTTCTGTGGGCAATTTGGGTTGTGGCATGTTGAGGTTACAACTGCTGCAGTTCCAACAGCTTTTGCTTCCACCAATGGATTATCAGCTTTGCATGAATGGCAAAAGTTGAAAAGTAGCAGAAGCTGTGACAGAAACACAATGTGCTTTGGTTCTGACCGTAGATTTCCATTGTGTTGCAACAACCTGAAACAAGCAAAAGTGCAACATTATAATAATGCACAATAGTTGTGATGCTTGTTATTGCAAAAGGCAGTGCCAAGTTATTAAATTACTCACCCTATATCTTCTTCTATGAAATCTTCTTCATCTTCTTCCATGTCGACATCATCCACCTCATAGGCAGGATCATGTTCATAGAACTCGTTCTCCTCCTCTGATGCTTCATCCTCACTCTCAATATTGCCAGCTTCCATTTCAGATTCTTCAGCACTCTTCTCCACCGACTGTTCCTCTAAGTGTTGTTCAAGCTGGAGTACTAAATAATATATGCATAAAAATAAAGCAGTGCTTCTTTATGTAACATTATAGGGGCAATAATTCAAACGTTGGTCAAAGTTGGTCAAAATAAAATAAAAAAAATAAAATAAATTGCAGAAATTATGACTCTTACCCCTGCGTCTCATTAGCTTCATTTTGGATTTATTTCCTTTTGCAGATGTTTTCAAGGAAACAATTTTGTTTTTTAGCCTTCTATTGGTTTCTCGAAGAGATTCCATTTCTGTATTGGCAATGACAAACTAAGAAAATAGTAAAAAAAACAATGATTTTGTAGCATAAATATCATAAAGGGAGATTCAGCTGGCGTGCAAGTATTATATTATAGAAGTAAAACTTTATGTGGGAAACTTTACATTTGCTGGCTCATCAATGTGACTTTCCTCGAGTTGACTCTCATCAAGCTTTTCAGGTTGGTGTTTTCTTTTCTTGCTTTGAGTATCTAGTAAGATGTTTAAAAGTCGTTTCAGTGAGAAAATAAAACCTACAATGACCCTTTTTAAAAAATACAAAACAATGATTTATACCGAAATTTAATTATAATATCCGTAAACTTTGTTTATAAAATTAATGTAAATATATTTTTATTATCAAATGGCATTTTAAAGTCCAAAAATTTAACTTTAATTACCTGATTTACTCGACTTCGGTGTTTGCGCTAAGTCGTCTATGTTCGATACCTCGCCATCACACGTGCTTCTCTCACCTTGCAAAGCTTTTATCAACTTTTTATGAAAAGATTTATTAGAAATCAGTAAAAAGTACAGCAAATACAATATCAGGCTATGAAATGTTATTAATAATTGAAACAGCTCGGTAAAATGCGTGGATCTTTTCTGAACATTCAAAACAAAACTTGTTATAAACCGACTCACCATCCGTCTATCTCTAGGACTTTGCACAACTGGTTCTCTAGATGTTTCCCTCGCCTCAGCATGTATACTTGGATACACACAAATACCAAGTTCGTCGCTTCTTAATTTCGGGTAGTTTGGCTTCGTTTGCCCAGGTAAAATTGAGAATCTTCGCTCGTAATCCTCAGACTTAAAGTGCGCTGAACAAAGAGTCGAAGCTTTCGAAGGCACGAAGACACGTTTTGCCTTTATGAAGTCAACCCATATTTTTCTTCTTCTCTTAGCTTCAGGTCGATCGTCGTTGTAGTAAGGTATCGTATGGAGACTTATACCCGAACTTAGACACGATTTATTCGTGCAATTGGCAGCTACACAGCTATTAACCATCTTTTTTACTTTCCGAAAATGAGCGCACTGTATGTATATGGCCAACACTGTTATTATAGATTTGCATATGGAACGAAAGCCTTATTTTGACGAGTACCTTGGGTGACGTCACAAAAATAGCTCGTTCCAGGCTCTTCTGACGACGGACAAGATCCATCAAAAAGGGCATTTTTGCCAACTTTAAACCGCCATAAAAATGGAACGATTTGACCAAATTGAAAAATTTTTTCACGGATACGCTAGAAATCATACCTAGATTTAATATCGCCAATAAAAATTTTTGCTGCCAGGGGCACTTTAATTTTCTCTGTTATCTGGGTATGTAGTAATCCAATTTTATGCCAATGTGTTGTGCAGTTTTTCAAGGGCTTTTCAATGCATTTATCGGTTTAAATATACCTACAATTCCCGTTAAGATATGACAATTGCCGCACGGCCTACTTTTACGCAAACGCGAATTACAATTGCCACTTTCATGATTAATTTTCTGTTATCCGGTCGTGTACTTTGTGCCACTTTGGCAACACGGCCGGATAACAGAGAAAATTAACTCTCTTTCGTTTGGCGCCGAAATATAAACCAGGTTGAAACCGACCCCGTATTTTGCAGGTTCATATCTTCGGTTCAGTGCATGCTATGCAGCAAATCCAATTGGAGCAAAGTCAAATTGAACATGTTCAAGGATTAAAGCATACTGGTCGACACAAATTCCCTTGAAATGAACTACGTTCACTTGATATAGTTTTGAAAGAGGGGGGTAATGGGGTATTTTCGTGCTGCGTATTGGGGTAATTTAATTATTCGTTCTTCGTTCAGTCATCTTTTTATTAAACGTTTTTCGATGCCGACATGGATGCCGTGTATCGTGCTTGCGGTGTATTCAATATCCGTTCTCCGTTTTCAGCTGTATTTAAAGACGGTTATTTCTCGTTTCTGGACAATATATTCCATTAATTTTGTTTCTGGATTTTAGCTATGTTTTGACTGATTGGGGAACGGAGGTTTCAAAGTTTATATAAATCATGAACATCGACGCAATTGTAAACAAATAGGTGAACACACCGCCTAGTACAGACTGTTTATATTCACCTTTAAGACTTCTAAGTATGATTGTTGCTTACATTTCATGTTCACTTTACATTTCAGATTCGTAATAAATTTATTTTACGTGCTTCAGGACTTCCTTCTTTTATTTTTCATGCTTCAAGATCGCTGCATATTATTTTTCGTGCTTCAGGATCGGTACCCCCCCATTACCCCCCTCTTGAAAGAAGCCGCGCTTCTTTGACTAACGATTCTGTCTCCCCTCATGGCTGGAGTCTACCAGCTTCTTGACAACGAATGTTCTATCGTTCTCGGGCAACTTTGTTGTAAAGACAGTTGTTCGGTAATTAAAGAGAAACGTATTTCCGCCTGCCATGATTATTGCAAAATTGTAATTTTAGAACTCTTATCTCGCAGTTGTAATTTGCATTTGCGCAAAAGTAGCCCATACGGCAATTGTCATATCTTAACGAGAATTTTAGATATATTTAAACCGATAACTGCATTGAAAAGCCCTTGAAAAATAGCACCTTACATTGGCATAAAATTACATTACTACATGCCCATATAACAGAGAAAATTAAGCATGAATGTTGCAGTTCTAATTTGCATTTGCGTAAAAGTAGCCCATACGGCAATTGTCATATCTTAACGGGAATTTTAGGTATATTTAAACCGATAACTGCACTGAAAAGCCCTTGAAAAATAGCACATTGCATTGGCATAAAATTACATTACTACATACCCAGATAACAGAGAAAATTAAGCATGAACGTTGAATTGATAGCCTACATGAATAGTAAAACTGCGTTGTGTATGACTTGATTGATTGTTCTTGTGATGATCGCGCAGACATAACCCGGCGTAACAATTTTTACTATTCATGTAATGTTGTTTTGTTTAATTAAACAAACAGAGACGCAAATATGCAAATATCGTAATTGAAGTTAGCATTTACTGTATATATAAAGTTATTACTTAGCCTATGTCTTTATATGTCAATCCATTGTAGAAATATCGTATAATTGAAGCTAGCATTTACTGTATGTAAAGTTATTACTTAGTAATTGAGAGGTGTGATTTGATGATGTGAATTTATCACAGGGTCGGATTTGACCATACTGCGATATTGCAAATTGTTAGTTCGTGATAAGACTTGCACCGTCGCTTGTGATTTTTTGTTGTATAATTTTCCTGCATCTCATATGAGTAAATAGTTTTCTTAATTAAAAATATCTTCACAGGGTCTGGAAAGTAGACCATGCAGTGAGATATTATAAATTTAGTCCTTGTTGTACATTGTGTATTTCGTATATCTGTCCATCCACATGTGGTTAAGGCTATGTGAGTGTTGTAAGTTCATTTCTTAGTATTTAATAATTACTGTATAGATGCAGTTAGATTATGTGCAATAATGCACAGGATCTTGAAAGAAAACCATGCCGTGAAATCTCTATAAGCCTATATTAGTATATATCGTTTGTGTCATGTATCTAACTATTGATAGGTAGAATATAGGTATACGTAGATGTTGTTCAATCTATAAAAGTATGGTTCATATAATCTGGCAGAACATTCAATTATGCCACAAGGGTAAACCAAATATTTAAATTAGATGCCTTAGATTAATAATCCCACTGGTTTGTGGGTTTGGGTGAGATGTTTTACAATGTACAAAAAACGTGGCGCCCAGGGTCTGGCAACAAATTTTGACCGTACATGGCAGTCATTACGTGGTATATACTCTATGGATTAATACTGTTAAGTAATATATATAATAACATGTACAAATGTACAAAGCAGTTCGCAGCGGTCCGAGCCAGTCAGTTCGCGTTTCATCGTGGTTTGCGGCGGTGTATAATATATTGGGTCAATATCAGTTGAAAATGACTGTAGGGAAAGGCGAACATGGGTAGAACGGCCTGCGGAATGGCCTTGGACAAACCATTCCATTGGTACCGAACAAAATGACATTAAGGAGATAAATGGATAGTATTGAAAAGATGTTGCTTGTGATTTATAATGAAACATTGATATAATGACGTGACTGCGTAGTGGGGCTATAGCAAACCTCACAGAGTCTTGGGTTGACTGTGCTTGTGAAGCATGTTAGCGCGTAGTGCTGGAGAGATGTTGTGATTTTTAATGAAACATTGAATAATGACGTGACTGTGTATTGGCCATTGGGACTATAGCAAACCTCGCAGAGTCCTATACTGTATACTGTATATATATATATATATATATATATATATATATAAATTCTTGTCATTCGTACAAACCTGTTAGGCTGTCGAAGCTTTTCAAGACATCCATTTAGTTACTGCCAATAACAAAGAAAATATTGCCAGATCGATGATTCTCACAAGCATGCACACACAAGACACCTGATGTTGTATGCATGAATACAAATGAAATCTTACTCCCGTATTCTAAAGCTCCGGCACTCACACTCAATGAGTGGAGGTTCAGTATGAGCTTCTCTTGAGTGCCGGTGCTGTTTCGGAATAGCTGGAGGGTTAGTATCGTACCTTACTATGACTATGTGCCTACTCACTCTCCAGCTATTCAAAAACAGCATTAATACTCAAGAAAAGTTCATATTGAACCTCCACTCATTGAATGTGAGTGTGAGTGAGCTTCGTAGCGTTCTCGTATTGTTCGAGAGAACTATATGACTATTGTCTTGCGTTCCCTTGATGATTAAGAACAATACGAGAACGCTACGAAAACGGTACAGTGTAAACGCTGCCTTAGAATACGGGCGTTAGATGGTGTCTGGCAAAAATGTTAGTGCATGGCCATGGATGCGAGCGAGGATGCGAGTTTTTTGAAGCCATAAATATCTAATAGCGGGGGTTTTACAGAAATGTACTGTAGACATACTGTATATAGTGGTTTCGTATGACAAGTAGACAAAATTTCAAACCTGACAATGTGTTCCTTCACTACTGTTGAAAGTGACATATGAAACCGCTATGCAGTTTTAAACCTCCCCTAAGGTTCTATTAAGGCTGAGGTTTGGTGGCCGAAAACTCGAATCCACTGAAACTGTTTTGCCAGAGAACGTCTGAAGTTATAAATATCTGTTATTCTGCACAAATCCTATTATAGCCGGCGCTTCATCATACTTCTTTCCGAAATATAACAACATTGCTAACAATAACAAAACTTCGGCTGATAGAGATGCATTTAACCTTGAGAATGACGTTTTGTACGAAGGCCCTTCGTCAGGAAGTTAGCAGCCAACTATAGTCGTGTTTACACTACCAGCCTTGGCCTGGCCTTGGCCTACCGTTGACAGTGTAAACAGACTTTGGCCTAGCTTTGGCCTGGCCTAGGCCAGGAAATCTGGGCTCACTACAACCGGTGGACTGGACTGGCCTAGGCTTGTGGAAATATAAACACTTTCGGCCCTGGCCTGGGCCTTATTTTCAGGGCAACGTCTGTCCACAGTGAGAGATTAGCGGACAACCAGCGGACAATTTCACAACACATAAAAATACACAAAATTAATCACAACATTCTAGGCCAAAGATGCCGGTAATTAATGGTGTAAACGCGCCACATTTACCTTGGCCTGACCAGGGTCA